TAAGCCAGGGATGTTACAGCAACTTTTACCTCAAAATTGTATAACCTGAAGTGGCACTTCATATCATGGACTAAACACATTTTTTGTGATTTTCTCGAAAACAGCTCTAACGATTTTGATTAAATTCATTATATCAGTGTAAAATTAAGCAGTTTTAAATAAACTGTAGTTTTTATTCTGATTGATGTTTTCTAACAGGGCTTAATAGTTTTCAATATTAGCTTCCCCTAAAGTACCTTTAATTTTTATTTATTTGAAACAAATGACCATTTCACATTAATCTCATATATAAAAGATAGTTAAATATAAAACATGAAAGAATGTGATAATTAACTGAAGGAAAAATAAAAGATCGTAACAGAGAATAGTTGTAATTGAGGAACCAAAGGAATACGAGCTCGCCCGAAAGATTAGAACATGCTTCCATATGTAACATGAGCTTAATATAATAAGGACTCCAACAATATTATGTAAATATACATATGCGGTTTTCATAGATGCTATTGTTGGTATAATTTATATTTAATTGTATAAAATACAGCATTATAAAAATTAAAATTTGCATATATAAGGATATTTAAACAAATAAAAATACCCACAATGAAATATACATCAATATAAAGCTTGTAATTTTTTACTTTCACTTCCCCTTTGTCTAAAAATAGTTATTTCTGCTAAGAAGAGGGTAAGTGAAAGTTGTGTGATGCACGCACCACACCAGATTTTTGTAATTGGTATTGTTTTAGTTATGGGGTTCACTGAAATGTTGAGTTGAAAAATTTCTTGGGTCTGGGAGTATATGAATTTTTAACTGTCTGAAGTTCCAAGTTTGTCTGAAGTTTCCTTTTTTACTGAACAGCCCAACCAACTTCTCTTCAATACAATCAATTAAGAAGCTAGAAAAATTCAATTAGATGTTTAAGCTAAGCTAGAATGAAGTAGGTACGCAAGTATTTCACCACGCCCTATGTTTCCTATTATTGAAATTTTAGTTTATATCAAAGATAATTTTATCTAGCAACATATCCTAGGATTCCATAATTCAGTCATATATACCTTTCCATTTTTATGTGAAGAGTTTATCACATTTCCCACAGCAAATTTGAAGCATCAAAGAATTTAGAGTTCATCTCACTGCCTCAAACATTTAAATAAAAATAAAAATATGCAATGTATTCAATTGCTTTGTTACATATTCTCAAATACACCTATATAACCCATACACACACACAAAAAAAAAAGAAGTAAACAAAATATATACATATTCGGGGTGTTTCAGGGTTGAGTGGCCAAAAAAAAAATCCTATGAAGGTATGAGATATTCACACCTAAAGATTTTCAATGTTATGAATTATTTACGTTATATTAAGTAAATAAAACTTATTTATTTGTTCCAACTACTTTATTAATTAAACATAGATGGATTATCATCAAAATATTGTAATATTGTTGCATTCCTATCTTCATTTTATAAAGGGGCAAAAATGCCATCAGCACGTGGTATTATAGCAAATATACCAGTTTCTCTATGAAACGTGAAGCTAAAGATAGACTTGTTTAGTAATCTTCTATTTGGAAATTGCCTGGCATATTCACGACGGATAGCATTAGCATTACCATTGCAAAAACCGTATACAAACACCATATTGGCATATTCAGCATTGAATAGCATAGAAGGCATGATGAGTACTCTGCGAAAGCATCTTACAATCTGATAAATTTTATTGAGAGTTCCCAATGTTAATTCTAAATAGAATTAATCCTTATGTTGCCAATAGTTATTATACAGTGAGGGATAAAAGGCCATATTAGTATTCTATCTAATCCATCTCTTAAACAAAGCGTTTGCGGACATACCTTCACTGAAAGTGTGCGCCCATGGTACCACTAAAGCCCATGAAGGGTCAATAGTAGGTAAGGAAAAACTGTTTCTTGGTCAAAGGTTGTGCAAGGAGGTGATTTGACCAAGATCACGCTTAACTGCCAGGTTTTCCCTCTTAAATAATTAATTAAGAGTACTCACTTTATAGAGGTGGTTCTCCTGACTAATTACATAAAATAATTACCTTCCATCAGTTTGACTCTAATCCAGGATTTTGAGCTGCGGAAGTCAGTGCCCTACCCACCGAGGTACCCCGCTCCACTATTATATTATTAATAGTAATTATTATTATTTACTATAGTACAACTAGATCACACCATTAAAGAGTCAGGAAATAGCCTCAACCATACCTTTTTATTTTTAACTATATTTTAGATATTTAAATTTAGTACAAAAATGAGATCACAAAAAGATTTAGTATTTTTGAGAGCAAATATTTTGATATTGTATTTAACGTATAATTTATCACTTCAATAATAATACAGTTTTTAATACCTAGATATTTTTTGTACACAAAAGCAGCTCTTTTTCAAAATTCTATAAAATTTATTGAAGGTGACAGAATTTTGGTGATAAAAGTAGCAAACAAAGTTAATTTTCTGATGCCTAATTAATCTTTTCCTTACTAATATATTTTTTAATAACCATTTAATACAATGCCTTGTTAAAAAGATCATTTTCGGGTTGTTTATTAGGTCCTAACAATGGTGGTTGAATTCTAACAACTGATCAACAATGCGAACCTTGCTAAGCAGTTCACAACAATTATTCAGTATTATTAAAATTTAACATTATAAAATTAACAAAAATAATATAAAACTCATATCTTGGAGAAATAGCCACAAGGCCGCAGAAAACCGTATATTCTCTAGCTTGTCGTGCATTCTTTCAAAAATCGGGACTGTACCGCCAAAAGCGGGATGTCTGGTCATCTTAATCAAATATCACTTCAAGGTATTGAACACTGCCTGAGGAATTCGGATAATGTCGAACAAGTCTTGGTAGAGTCGTATTTTCTAGAGTTTGCTTCAGTCATAAAGTTTAATTTATTGATGTAGAGTTGGTTTTTATTTATTTATTTATTTTCTATTATATCATCTTCGTTAGTCGTGTTAAGGGTATCCGAAATGTATGGAATATCATTTGTGTATATAATATATAATAGTGCACAAGAGTACTGAACTATAAATCAATCGTATAACACTATAATAATAGTAAATTCCTAGCCTTGGCAGACAAAGAGAAATCTGTGTATCTGGATATTTTTGTAGTTTACTAAAAATATTAAAAAGTTTCTTTCTATATTATCCGAAGTGCCAAATTCATAGAGCTATTCTCCTTCATTTACCTCAATTGATTTTTTTTTGTTTTATGTCAAAGACTATCATAAATAGCAATATTTTAATTTAATTTAAACAAAACATGATATGTATCCCATGAAAAAGGTCAAAAGCATCAAAGAGGCTTTAGGAAAGAATTATGATTTATTTTGAAAACAGAGAATTTTCAAGCTTTAAAACACAGAACCAGCTATAGTTCCTTTCAGGGGTTGAAAATTTTTTAAAAAGTTCCATTTCAACAGTTTCTGTGAAACGTTTTAGGAAAAAGTTCAAAGAACTTTTCTGTAATGAAGCTGTAGGTTTATGATAAAAGGTTAACTAGTGTTTATTAGAATACTTAATAAAAGTTCCGATAAATGAAAAATAAACAGTAATTGAGCTTAGATAGAAGTTATAATTTGTCTTAAATGAATTACACATGATTCTATTGCATTATTCGTTTGAGTAGCTATGAATAAAAATCATTTTTTAGATTTAGACTTTTTAACGAAATTGACAGAACTATTAACCCTCTGAAGGTTGCACAGGATCTGAGAGATTTGGTCAGAGGTCAATTTTATGTACTTTTGATCTTGTGTGAGGAGGACCATCCCTTCACATATTCTCCTGGTTCTTGGAGTCTTACAATCCTGTAGTGGGGTGACCTGTGTTACGCCCAATTTTTGTGCGAGATATGAGTTTTTGATTTTTGAAACGGCAGCTATGAAATTTTTCACAGAAAAGGGATGCAATAGTAACTGATATAATTGAAATCAAAACCTTTATTTAATAGGCTGTTATATATTGCAAATATTAAATCGGGGAAAACAAAGGTGATTTGTGGGACTCAAGTGGCACTATTGATTCCAAGTTAGGAATCCAAATATTTTTTCCTGCTATCAGTGTATGAATAATAATAATAATAAGGCTTAGCGAACCCGAAGGTTCGATGCCGATATCACCAATTGATGTCCGCATTCTTCCATCCACCGCGCCATATTTAAACCCAACCCCACCAAATCAGCCTTAACGCAATCTACTCAGCTTCACTTTGGTCTACCCCTTGCCAATCGGTACAGCGCATATTAATTTTTTAGGAATTCTTTTATTACTAAGCCCAGCGATTTTACATGCCCATTTTATTCGCCTCAATTACATTAACCAGATAAAGTTCATGCAATTCAGCGTTGTGTAACCGCCTAAATTCTCCGTTTGACTCTTCCTTTTTCAGTTTAAATATTCTGTGAAATACTTTATTTTCAAAAACTTTAAGACGTTGCTCATCCCTTAATGTAAGTGGTCATGTTTCGCATCCATAAAGAACCGTAGGTAGGATAATGGTTTTGTAAATTCTAATTTTTAAGTTTCGGGACAGGAGGCTAGAACTAAGTAATTTTGAAGAAGAAAAAGACCAAGCATTTCCCACCTTCAGCTTAACCTTAATATCCTCTTCAATTTCTTTTTTTATAGTTATCTTAGACCCTAGATACCTAAAATTCTGTACGAGTTCAAATACATTCCTTTCTATATCAACATCATCAAACTGCCGCTATTTTTGCAGCTAACCATATATTTTGTCTTATCCGAATCTATCTCAAGTCCTAGTTCTTTACCAGCTTCTATCAACGTTGTTGTATTTAGTTTTATTTTTTCCATGTCTTCGCTTAACAATGTATCCATCACTGCTGACTGCCAGAAAAGGGATTTTAGGAATTATACTACAGCATCATATCTAGTGTAGATAAATATCATTTAGTAAAATAAGGAATTTCGGGGTTGCAACAACAGAAGAAATATCTTTTTATGAATCACGTTTTATAAGTATTTTGCTACAAACATCAAAATTTATACATAGATTGCTTTTTCCAAAGCAAAGTACCCTCTCATTTAAAAGTTGTGCTTTATAAGTCTTGCTCATTAAATTTTTAGAAACGATATTTTAAAAAAAATTATATTAAAAAAATAAAAAACAGAACACTTTGCTTTGACAAAAACAATTCTTATTCAACATAGTACAAAATTACAGCTGACTGCTTGTCGGTATTTTATAATTTTATATATATATATATATATATATATATATATATATATATATATATATATATATATATGTGGTTACAGACGATATAAATGGGTATTTCTGATTCTATAGAAGTTGAAACTAGCCCGTGCTTGGTACTGTAGTGCACGGTATGACTTAAATGACTTCTTTAATATATGACTTAGATACAATATCAAAGGAACAATTGCCTCTATAAAAAATGCACCAACTATAGATATATATATATAAAAATGTAATAATCACGTCAAACCTTCTTAGTTAAATGTTTAACATTTCCAGTCGAAACATGCCGGGTTGGTGCAAATTTTATCACGGAAAAATATTAACACTCCTTAGACTCAACTGGATCATTGATATCGCTTTATCACAAATATTTTCTTAGTATGTATCTGTATGTAAATATATATTTATTTATATATATATACATACATGTTGGTAATGAATAATAGCAATTCCTTTTTCAATAAGATAAAACATATACTTTTACAAGTGTTTTTTTTTACTTTGCGATGATACAATGCATAAAATCATTAACAAGCAATAGCTTTAAATTAAAAAATAAATCTACAAATTATTTATAAAGAGCCATTATTTTCTTCATAATTTACAATGTTTTTTTTTTTTTTAAGTTTTTCGTTTTATTTTACTATGCAGATTTACATTTATATAATATAAGAATGGGGGGAGGGGCAAATATTTAATATGCTCAGTCGCTGTTTGCATTTCTAAATTCTAAAAACCGCACATACAGTTAAGTATAAGCATTTAGCTCTTTACCTAATCACTCCGGGTATTAGTGCCTAATACAAATATAAAGAGAAGAGCGCCATTCATTCAAACAATATGTACATTTTAAATTATAAACACTTTTTCCTTTTTCTTTTTTTTTTTTTTCACTTCAGCAATACAATTTCATTTTATTTCACATAGAAAATGCAAACATTTTTTTTTATTTCAAATAAAAATTCTTAAAAAATGTCATACAGATATCTTCAGGTCTGATCAATATAAAAACAATTATTAAAACATCACTTTTTTTTCAAAAAGAAAGAAAACATCATAATAATGTCGAACTGAAAATTTCAAACATAACACATCAATTTAAAAGTAAATAAGTACAATTTACATACATTATAAATACATCCAGATACAAGAACTGTCGAAAGCTCCGAACATTTTTAAACTTAAAAACAATTAAAAAAAACAAAGAAACCAGCTTTGGAAAGTCTAGGCCCCTAGAAAACTGGTGTTTTGCACTGAAATTATTATTTTTTTTTTTTTTAATATATACAAATTTTCATTTATCACAAGAATTAATGAGGAACGTTGTTTAAACAAAAGAAAAGTAAAATTAAATTAAAATGAAAGCAAAACTACAAAATACAAAATTCATGCAACACCACAATTATTTTGCACGCAAACCACCTCAGAAGAAACACTGAAAGGACCATAATATACATAGTGTTCATAAGGCTCCACCGATGTGGATTGTCCGTCTTGTGATAAATGAAGCGATAAAATTTAAAAACATTTTGAAACAAAAAAAATTGAAAAATCCTAAATAAAAATTAACAATTTATTGGATACTTACAAATTACTATTTATAATATATATATATATTTATATTTATGCTAAAAAGTTTTTTTTCATAAGATACACAAAAATACTATTTGAGAAATGAAGATCGCGCGGTCTTATAATAATTATACATAATATATATATAATAGACTCTTTCGAGAGCGCTTGTTCGTAAAATATATAAGTCCCTGGAAGTGAAAACTGTGCGTCCGACTAAAATCACTTTGAGAGACGACGGTGTGAGGCGAGCCGGCGCGGGCGTTGATGAGGTAGTTGATGCGACGATGGTGCAGGTTGCGCCACATGTTATCTCCTGTCCTTGTAGAGGAGGTAGGTGTTCATCGCGTGGGGGAGGTTCAGGTCTGAGATCCTCTCCTCCAGCTGCTGCTTTCCGACTCGCTGCCTTATCACCCTCCTGCAGAGGTCCATCAGCGGCAAGGGCTCAGCTGTAACGCAACATAATAATTATAGAAACCATCGCAAAGTCAAAACAATCAAAGAAATAGCTAAGCCATCATGATCAGAATATATGATATATATATATATATCTGAATATATGATATATATATATCTGAATATATGATATATATATCACAAAGTCAAACCAACCAAAGAAATAGCTAAGACTTGATGATCAGAATATATTCATATATGAAGAGGTGATTTGTACTTTTGAAAAGAACAAAAAAAAAACTGTTTCCATCAAATCACATAAATTGAAATTTTTACTTATACCATTTGTAGCTACTTAATGGTTTTTAGATTTTTCATGGCTCAAATTACAAAGAAAATATTTAAAGGATGAAAAATAGTCAGAAAATGCAATAAATAATTGTGTTTATTAAGTTTATCGACGTTACAGTACAAGCATGTGGTAGTCATCAGTAAGGCAATGGTTCAAAGGCAAGAAAAAGAAGTCCTCGAGTTCTTTGCGTTCTTGTCTTCCCTTCGAACCATTGCACTGATGATGACCCACATACTTGGGCTGAAACATCGGTAAACTTAATAAATATTATTATTGACTATTTTTTATCCTTACAATTTCAATAATCAACTAAATATCCATCTATGAAAAAAATATTTTATTATCTTTAAAATAATGTCAATTTTTGGTTATTTTATATCATATATGAAAAATTGAACTTACGATCCAGGCCTCCAATGTACTTCATTGTGATTTCACAATGGCCCCAAACAGCACTCACTATCGGGTACAACTTTCTTCCCTTCAATCCTCGGAAGGCAATACCTAAATATTGTCCGTCGACGACAAACGATAGCGTACCTTCATCCATGTCCAATACAACTGAAAAGAATAAATAAAATATTATAATTCTCGATTAATTTTTGGTACATTTATCAAACAGAAAGTATCTGTTATTGAAATACCAGATAATGAGGCATAGAATTTGAAAACCAGCTCAGTAGAAAGGATTTTACATTACTATAGTTTGATCACGATTAGTTGGCAGTCATGAGGTGAACTCATGTTGCACTAATTGTGATCAGTATTTCTGACAGGTGCGAGTAGAGAAATGAAGATAAAAATAGTTTTATTTTTTATAACTTTCTTATTGAAAATAATTAAACATTATTACACCCCATAACCCAATTCTCATAACTTTATAAGATGTTTAAAAAAAAAATTCTTAATTTTGTTCCTAATTAATCCATCCTATAATATAATATATATAATTTATACCATATTTCAACTTCAAAACATATTGAAAACATTTATTTCACTTAGGTATAGTTACAATTAGATCGGGGTTCAAGAAGCAAAACCACATAACTAACTACTTAACTCATTTTAGTCAAAAATTGATAACATTTATATACTGACATGGGATTATATATTGTGCAAACATACACACACGCACACACATAAATTTAATGATCTAAAATTAACCAAATCAAAAACGTTTTGGTGGCCAGATGAATGCCAATTTTTTTTTTTTGTAATATATCAAAATAGTGATCCTTAATAAAGTTTATTATTATGTTATATATTTATTAAAAAAATTCTTTTATTTATACTACAATCACCTTACAGCTCTTTTCTAGCTTTATGCCTGTTTTATTTTATTTATTTATGTGTTTCATTCATAACTGTCTCTAAATATTGAATATAATGAAAGTATTACTTACATTATTACATATAGTATTACATTGAATATAAGTAGTTAAATATTACATCATTACATACATATACATATTTTTTAATAGTCTGTCAAAAGAAACAGACTTCAAAAAGTTCTTGGCTGCTTAGCACATGTAATTTACTGATAATAATAAATTAACTAGTTAAAATTAGCTCTGTATTCATAGCAGTAAACTATGATCTTAAGCCTGCAGCTGTGAAAAATTTACAAGAATTTATTTGGCTGATTTTGGAATTCAATGCATCATTTACAAATTAAAAAAATAAATAGTTAAAATAAAATTACCTAAAAATTTGTCTGGTACGATGAATGTTTCATCAGGCTTAAGCGTTGCAGGGTATATAACACCTGCGTTATTTTTCGAGTCGTGATATAGTTTATTCCGACCCAAGTCCCAGCCCCAAGACTGATCGTTACTTCCAACAAGGCTCTGTAAAAAAAATAAAAAATAATTAGAACAAGGTCAACATTAATTATTTATTTATATTTTAATGTAAATATAAATTTAACATAAACTGCCTCTATTTAAAATCTAATAAGCATTTTAAAAATGGGGCACTATGGGAATTAATTTATTCTAAATGAAGGTCGTTTCATTGTCAAAATAGATAACAATAAACAATAGAAGTTGAAGTTTCCTGTTTCTACATTGTTAAATCTTATTTTACTTCAAGGATTTACCACAATTAAACAATGAAATTTTCTCAATATTCAAAACGAAACAATACAAACGAATTAACATTTGTTTTATGACAATATTAAGTCCCACTGAAATTATACTGATTAGGTTTAGAATTTTATTAAAAGTTTTCACATAGTTTGGAGTTTTATGTAACTAGAAATAATGAAAATTTAAATGTTGATAAAATGAAAAATGTTGTAAAATAAACACTACAGTTTGAGTTTTTGAAATTTATTAGCTATAAGAACAAAGTTCTACAAAATTTAACCCTAGAATTTTGCCATTTGCCCTATACAACCTAGTTATTTCCACATTTTAGGGTAGTAGGTCACGCCAAACGGCTCAATATTTTTGAAGGCCACCTTTTTTCTAGAGTTTGTGCTCAAATTATCTTATGATTCAAGTGGAAAGCAAATGGGTATTTACAAGTTTTTAGTTCCTAATTAAATAGACAAAGTTTGACAATCTCCACATTGAAAACACCCCAATTCCGAGGATTTTCATAAATAAAATAGTTGTAGGTTACGATGAGAAGAAGCTATTTACGAAGTTTCTGGCAGATGTTAATAATTTGATAAAAAGGGATCTGTACCACGGGCCTGGTACTATCTGTACCATATATCAAGTTTATTATGTTATACTTCTAGGTGATTGATTAAATATATAAATGAAAATTATATATTTGTCAGTTTAATGATGGAAATGGCATGGCAATTACCTGGTAGCCAACGCTGTGAAGAGGAGCGTCCTGGGTGGCGACTCCGACGACTGCATGGGTTCCCCTTTGCCTCGTCGACCAGTGCACCTCCCAGACGTGGAGTCCTTTACTCAGACCGACCTTACCTCTGATGCAGTCGGTGCTCTGTGCTACGGGATGGCGGTGAAAAGTCAACTTATCATCGTCCTGAAATTAAAGAAGGAATAATTAAATGTTTGTTTTGTTTTCCCCCAAATTTTTTAAGAAGTTATTTTATGTTTAAAAAAAAAATCAAGGCAATAAAACTAGGCAAGAATAAGAAGTAAGCTTCAACCTCTAAAATATCCACTTTGAAATTTTTTTTTTTTTAATTTATTTACTGTATACATTTTTTGATTATTATTCGGTTGTTATTTAGCTTATATTTATTTTATCTTTTTTATATATGAGTCTTTCAGTTGTTGATCAACAACGAAAAAATATTGTTGATCACATGAATGAAGCATGGAGATCATACGAACAAAGATAAAATTAAATACAGGCAGAATCAGTACAAGGAAATAATATAATAATTATCATTAGAATATTATTATGTAAAGGACAGCCCGTTATTTGTTTGTAACCGATCATTAGGAAAACTGTTGTCAATCGCTTTAGCACAGCTTCATTTAAATATTGTTTGCAGTCAACAATAATAATAATGTGCAGAGAAAAATGTTTAAGCATTTTAGGGTCTATCTAAGCATATTTTTCATATAAACAACAACCATATGATCCTTTCATTTGACACAATGACATAACTCCAATTTCAACATTTTTGATTATTATTTTAGTGATATTTCTAGTTGGAAGATTTATACCTTAGTTCACAGTATCATATTTCAATGTTACAATGACTTATTACGGAATCAACTTACTCACTGTCTGTACATATATAAATTTTCCAACTTGAAATATCAGTAAAATTAATTTATAACTCAAAAATGTTGAATTTGGAGTTAAGTCATTCTGCCAACTTAAAGGCTCATATATCCTATGAAAGTAGTCTTAGCTCAATATAATAATTGTCGTGGGTTGATGGTTGACTGTAGTGAATAATTGAAGAGGATGGTTGGGGTGATCAATCAAAATAAAAAATAGTAAAAATAAATAATTATATTTATTTTTATATTTGCCGATGTTTAGGCCTTCATCAGGGCTAAGAAAGAACCGGATGACAATAGGTATGAGAAACTATAAACATTGAATAATAAAGAATTACAATTAAAAAGGTGAAAGGTATAGACTAAAAAATGTCGGTAGAAAAACCTTGAAGTACAATGAAGAAGATAGATTTAACATTTAAGTAGGTAGAATAATAACAGTAAGAGAGAAATAGGAAATAAATTTAGTCCATACTTCGTCGCCGTTTTTATTATTTATTTCTTAGTTCTCTGTTACTGTTATTATTCTACCTACTTTATTTTACTTTAATGTTCACTCTATCTTCTTCATTTTACTTAAGTTTTTTCTACCTACATTTTTTAGTTTATACCTTTCACGTTTTTAATTTTAATTCTTTATTATTCAATGTTTATAGTTTCTCATACCTATTGTTATCTGGTTCTTTTCTTAGCCCTGATGAAGGCCTGAACCTCGGTAAATATAAGAATAAATACAATTATTTATTTTTACTATTTTTTATTTTGACTGATCACCCCACCCATATCCTTCTCTTCTACAATTATTATCCAAGTGACAGAATGTTATATTATTGAATAAACAAAAAAAACATACATTCTAATAAAATTTTAATGGCTATATAATAAATATTCCATGATACATAAATAATGAAATAAGGAAAATTTTGGTGATAAAAAAAAATTTGCTATTGAAAATACTTTGGCGTCGATCAGGAACGCCGACAAAAGAGACCCACCAGCAGAGATAATAATTGGCCAAAGAGGTAAGAGGAAATAAAGCAAAAGGAGAAAAGACAGCAAGGCCAGAGGCGAGTTCACTGATCATAACCTTCGCTGGGCAACGCTTTCCTCAAGGTTTTGCTCTCTCAGTCCACGACGGTTGGCCACAGCTGTGTAGCTTCCAATCGATTTTAAGAGATTTTTTCTTTAAATTAACACGCAAAAAATATATAAAATTAAATTAAAAGAAAAAAAAAACTACGGCATGTGATTAACACCATACGATAGAAGCAAAAACATCAACAAGGCAGGATTAGTATAAGACAATTATACAGTTTTTTAATGAGTCTCGTAATGGAGGTCAATAATTTAAATACTATCGATTGCAACATAAAATCGAATAATAACACGTAATTTCTTATTTTTACGGTTTATTAAAAAATATATATTTATATCGACTTCTACAAATTGGTTTTTGAATTTTGAGTTTAATTCTGAAATGCTCAAAATATTCGTTATTATTTTGTGGAGCTTTCTTCCTTTCCGACTTTATAACTTTGCGTCACTTTAAATTACAATTTTGAATAATAGCTCATTACAAAGAGGATGAAATGTTGAAAATTTCTCCCGCTTACAGTAACCAGGTTCGAATTTTAATTTTTGAGATATTTTAATCTGAATGTTAAAAAAAAAAAAAAAATAGTTTGCCTCTCCAACACGGCGTCGCGTTAAGATATAATTTTGAATAATAGCTCATTAAAAAGAGAATGAAATGATGAAAATTTCCCTCGCTTATTGTAATTAATCAAAATGCTAAAACACTTAGATTGATCGACTAGAGACGACTCAATATTATTCATTTATTCACTAAAGAAGTTAACACTTCAAAAATAAAAATTCAAAACTCACTTTGACAAATATGTTAAGTGACCTATCGTCCGGATTCCATCCGTGTTTGATTTGCGCTTCCCTGGAAGCGGGGGGCATATCCAGAAGGATGTCCAGTCGCGCTGGTCTCTGGAAGTCCTGTGCCAGCTCTCGTGGGATTACGGGCTTGTAGGGTGCCGAACTCTCTCTGTTTACACTCTTCACACCATCTGCAAAGCGAAAAAAGAGGATAACATAAAATACAATAAAACTACAGTAATGATAAATAATTACCTAAAATATAAACCTACGAACGAAAACTTCTGTTGTCAAGCTAAACGTCAGCTGCAGTGAAAAGACTATCAATACGTTATTGATAGTCTTATATAGTCTTAGTCTAAGTCTTATTGATAAACTTATACCTTATTATTGATTTATGCGCCAATAATAATATAATATAATAGCTGGCCCGTGCAAATAATTCGCAGACAATTTTGTTTAGTGAAGAAATAAATAAACTAAACTAAATAAGTAGATCTTATTTATTATGTAAGGGAGGAATTAATTGTTTTTCCTAGTACGATTACAATATTCCATTTAACATAACAGACCAAAATATTTGTACTAATTGCTTTGCTAGAGCCTTTTTTTAAACGCTGGCTAAAAAGGTAACATTCAAAATAAAGCCTGAATCGTGGAATTTTCTAAATTATTAAAAAATGTACAAAGAAAAAAAAAATGCCTTACAAAGAAATAATAAAGTATATATCATCCAGGTAAAAAAGAGAGTAGAATAGTAAATGCAGTATCTTTTAAAATGAATAAATGATCAAGTAAACCAAAACTAATGGACTTTGTATCTGTGTTAATAATTTTCCGATTTTTATATATTTTTTTTTGTGGTGTAGGTAATTTAGTAATCTTTCTAATTATCATGGGTACAATCCAGAAAAAAATACATACTTTTTGCGTTATTAAATAAAGTGTCTTTCCCTTCATAACGTTTTTTCCTTAAATTTCAGGGGGATGTGATTATTTTTATCATGTGAAGGAGAAGAATATCTTCAAAACGAGTAGTCAATCATTGGATTTGATGAAGAATTGACGAAGTTAAAGCGTACCGATAAAAAAATATATTTTAGAAATAATATATAAGATATATAGTACAGTGTAGCTTAAGTAAAAATAATATATAATATAGCTTTCTCAATATTTTTTTGTTACAATATTAGCAATAATTCGAAGTCAATGTCTTGATGTTTCCGAAATCGGTCTTTTTTTTCATGGGAAGCTATAAAACTTTGTGAAGTATACTTAAAAAAAAATCATCTAAAGCTTTAGCAACTCTTTTACTCATAAATAAAATAAATAAATTGCATTACACCATTATAGTATTACTCCATGTTACAGGTCCCTTTTTATCGAATTATTAACATCCGCCTGAAACTTAGTAAATAGTTTCATCTCATCGTAACTTACAACTATTTTATTTACGAAAACTATTGGAATTGGGACGTTTTCAATCTGGAGGGGGGCAAACATTTGTCAATTTAATTCGGTACTAAAAACTCGTAAATACTCATTTGCTTTCTACTTGGATCGTAAGATATATTGATCACAAAATCGATAAAAAAGGTGGCCTGCAAAAATATTGGACCGTTTGTCCTGTATAACCTCCTTATTTTGAAACTTTGGGGGATGTAGGCGCGTTTTGTAATTTTTTTGTGAAGAGTGAATTAGATTGACGCGTCAGATTTCCGATGGATGTATAACTCTCGGGTAAAGTTGGCTGGAGTCGACTAATTGAAGTGTTTTTGCATATGGATTAAAATATCTCAACCACTAAAAATCGGAATTGTGTTTTGTTAGACAGAGAAGTGTTCACCATTTCATCCTCTTTATAATGAGCTATTATTTATACTTCGTATTATTAATCTCGCCTTGTTTATGTTTTCAATTCTATCGTGTCTTCTAAAGCACACACCTAAGTTTTTTTGTTTTTGTTTTTTCAGTTTTTTTATTAATACAAAGCATTCCTATCCCTTTGGTAGTGGGGAAGCCAAAAAAAAAATTCAGTATTTCATAAAAATCCTTTATTATAACGAAGAGTCCGATCATTTATATATTCGGTAGCGGCCGCCATTGCGCTTTGGCACAAACCTGAACAGACACCGAACCGCCTGGTGAATTATGGGTAAGGCCTGCCCAAGACATCCCCGACCACGAGACAAATGACCCCCATCTCCCCCCTCCCAATTCGAATAATAATTTCCACAATACTATTCCGAATTCGGTTAATAGCAGGCGTGGAAGTCCGGGACGGTGGCCAGCTATTGGAATAATAGTGACAAACTGTTGGCCGGCTATTTATCTATCGGCCAGTGTGGGACACGGGCCAAAGGTCGCTCGGATCTGGGTCGGGCTGTATGTCATAATATATATCTCTATCCCATAATAAGATATATTGCACCACTATGGGGCCCGAAGCGTGCATATATATTACATTATATTATGTTATGTGTATTATATACTAACATACAGCACGTAGCCCGGGGCGAGGGTTGGGCAGGCGAGCCTACGCTACCGATATCGCAACTACAAAGAATTATTTTACGGTTGAAAGTAAGAAATGAACGCGTCGTTTACGACTTTCGAATCCTTATAATAAACTTTAAAAAATGTATAAATCCTCCGAAAAAAATCTTTATATATTATATCTAGTGTTGCCCAAAATAGGTCTTGGTCTTGCACTTTGCAAGAGTTCACTTGCTAACAATATGCATGTCCGATTTTTAGTTTTTAATATATTTTAATCTATATGTAAAAACACTTCAATTAGTCGACTTCAGCCGACTTTACCCGAGAATTATACATCCATCGGAAATCTGACGTCTCAATCTAATTAACTCTCCACGAAAAAATTGCTAAACCCGCATAATGAAGTTTTCCCTTCAAAAAAGTGTTTTGTTTTCTGAATCGAAAATTCCTCCTTGTATTTTATGTTTTAGACATCAAGGGTCAAATTCGGTTCCATATCTGTGTTAGTTTCGAAAGTTCAATCCATGTGACGTACATAAGCGTGGCGTCATATACATTTTTAAAAAGTTCAGAAAAAGCTTATTTTTTGTAACATAGCTTCAATTTAAAACAATTCTTGTACTTTGCAAGACTAAGAACAAGACTACTTAACTGCTGCAAGACCAAGACCAGGACTGGTAAAAAATATTAAGACTAAACAGTTACTAATCTTGACAAAAATTTCACAGTGATATCTCTATAGTAATAAGCTAATAAGTAACTGCAAGAATGTTCCGAGAGTCTTGCGCAAGACCAAGACGGAGTTTGCAAGACCAATACTCGTCTCTTTCTCGCATTTGGGCAACACTAATTATATCTCAAAAGATTTTTTTCTTCTCGCTACGCCATATCTTCATAAATTATTCATCAAATCCTATGATTGAGCACTCATTTTGAAGATCTTCTTTTCATTCAGGTGAGGAAAATATCCAAATTTCTCGCAAAATTTCAGGAAAAGAAACTTTATTTCCGAATAACTAAAAAAAATACATTATTTTCTTGATTGTGTCAAAGATTATTTGAAACATTATTAAATCCACATACAAAAAAAAAAAAAAAAAAAAAAAAAATAGTATTACTTCAGTAACATTTTACGCAAATTATGTTAATTTCAATTTACAATAACGTTCTTGTTTCACAGCAGCCTCCCTACAATCAAATAGCCTGAAAGTAATCTTTTTTACGCTAAGTTTCGTAAAAGTTTTTCTTTCTATACTTTATCTATTTCCAGACAATGGATATATCGCATCGTAGTATAAATACAACTGCATGCCGTTGCTATGATACAAAGCTATATTAAGAGTAATCCTCGCTACACAATAGTTCAACATATTATACCACGATACATCGAAGTCTTATCGAAGCCGACCTCATGACTTCCTCCGTGAGCGGCTTCTTCTTGTGCTTCTTCATGGGCCCGAAGGGATAACTCTTCCTAGTGAAAGGCGCACACTGCACTCGTATCTTCATGGGGACCGTTTCTTCTGCCCATCGAAGACGATATATTTCTCAAGAGATCCTCCGAATTAGTGAGACTAAAGCGGGGCCCGAAGCGAAAGTTGGAAAGCACGACCGCTCTGATATTTTTTTTTTGTGAGGGGGGGGGGGCGAGATGAAGGGACTCCTCCTAGGCGTTGAGCAAACGGTGAATGCTTCTAACCGACTCAAAACGAGCCGAGTGAAAGTGACGAAAGGACGGGATAAGCTTTCGAAATGACTGACAAAATAATCGATAGCTATATCTCGATATTTTACACGTAATCATTTATATATAATATATATTAATAACCTTAGATTCTAGATAAAAAAAAAAAAAAAATTTCAAAAGTTGGAAAGGTTAGTTTGAGTAGAATCCTTAACCAATGCCTCCTGGATCGTGATATGCCGCCATAATTTGATCTCTTTTGAGATTTAAGCTGGTACTAATAGTCATCCGTCATGAGATCTTATCTCTACGCTGTTAGTGGTACCATTCGTTATAATGAGGTGGAAATATAACAAAAAAACTTGAATTCTCCGTAATTGTTATGTAAGATTGCGATTATGCGATAAAAATGATTCTGTTAATTGAAATGTCAACAGAGAATCATGTAATATAGCCTGACAATATAGAGGACGAAATCGTGCGGCAATAATTTAAAAAAAAAAAAGAAGAATTTCCTCTTAAGCCCCGATCTTATTTAAAAAATACTCTATAAAAAAATACTCTATAAGTAATATCGGAGAGACTGAGAAAAACATTAGGATAGTTTCAGCCAGACCTGGACAAAAAATATTTTAAAATTAGTTGTATTTTGCTTACAAGGTATTTAAATTGTTTTCAAAAAGGTACTTCAAATACATAATGGCTTCCAGATGGATTGCTACGAGCGACAAGCCCCGCCCATCTTAACATCTGTGCCTTCATATCATGGGATATTGATTGATTGATATTTATGGTTATCTATTTGAAAATAATAAACTATCGTATAATAATTTGAAGAGATTTTAATAATTCATTCAAATTATTTTTCAGAACTTGTATCATGTATGAGTAATGGGGAAATACCACTACGGGGCAAAATTGAGGCCCTCTTTATTATCACATTCTGATAAGAAACATTTACGCAGTATTGCGATAAGTACAATATAACATTTAACACATGCATATAATTTAAAAAAAAAAAAAACTCTCGGATACTAAAATATTAAAATAATCTTAATCCTTTTGAATTATGAATTAATTGAAGCATGGATAAAGCGAAATAATCCAGGCAACAAACGTGTAAACACAGCTTGAAATATGGATCCGTTTGGCCGCTTCACGGCACGAAAGTATCGATTAAATTATACATTTAGCGGCCCGAATGAGTCATTCCTTCCGAACGGAGTTAAGAGAAAACCCGCAATGAATCACGCGTGGAAAACCACTTCGCCATAGAGCTCCTCTACACGAAGAGGAAAAGACAGAGAGGAATAGAGGGGAGAGGAGAGAGAATAAAAAAAAAGTTGGCCAAAGAGGTAAGAAAAGAAAACGAGAGAAAAATAAAATAAAATAAAAAAAAAAGTGGACAAGGGAAGGCAGCTCTTTGTTCTAAGCTGGCGTGCCTTTCTCGAAGGTCTTCTACATCACTTCATCGTCTCCTATACAACTCCTCTTCTCTACTCTCTTAAAATATAGCGGGTATTTATTTAGGCGAAATTAAGTGTTAATAATATTTCGAAAATAAAATAATAATAATAATATGGCTGAATATGTAATAATACATATTATAAAGGGGGGCGGGCGGGATGACTGAGCGGGCTAACGCATGTGATAAACACGCGTTGCCCGGCAACCTCATTGACTAAAAATAATTTCGAGTTCCCCTCCTGATGAGGGGGGGGGGGGAGCTTTTAACTCTGGCACTAATCTCCTGCCCGTTCCCCTGACCCTAGAAGAAATATCGTAAATATAGACTGATCAGGTGGAAAAAATAATAATATACTATTTATCCAATTATGTAATTTAAGGATTTATCCATAGTGTAATTTTAATGTATTAAGAAAAATTAATAAATAACAAAATTGAATAATATATATTTTCTTTAACTTTCTGGCTTTGTAAAAATGAATGGAATCTATATAACATGGAATCTATATCGGACGATTTGATGCTTTAAACATTTAGTACTTTTTGGAGGGAAAGATTTAGTGACCAATTGCTTCTTACATAGACAATTATACGTTGAGAATTCTAGAGTTGGAAAACTAGACAATCTCTATATCTATAAAAAGAATGAAACAACAAAGAATATCCCATATCCACAAGTATTGTTGCACAATATATATTAGAAACATCTGCTTCCTTTTTTTATTTATTTTTTTTCTATTTAACCAGAATGAGTCATAGCAACGCGTGGCCGGGTAAAGAAGCTAGTAAAAAATAAAAAATGAACAAATAAAATAAAAAGTATGGAAAAAAAACAGCTACATTAATTGGATAAAATAATGCACATGAAATATGAAATCTGTTTTGTTTTTTTTATATTATCTAGGAAGCCATATAGTTAAGACTTTTTAGAAAGAAATAAAAAATTAAAACAATTCCAGGAAATTCTGATTATATAATATCCTAGAAAGTATTTTCTTGTGCAATGTTAATGTAGTAATGAAAACCCAAAAGCAACAAAATTAAATAATATAAATGTTTTCTTAAATTTTACATCTTGAATTGTTCGTTCAAGATCTGAAGGGCGGTCAATAATAAAGAAATAAATAATGAGTTAAAAACTATTTAATGCTGATGTTTCGGCCTAAATATTTAGTGTTTGCAAAAGTTCATTTTCTTAATTCGATTTAAATATTAATTTGAAAATAACAAACACCTCCGAAGCGTTTGAAAAGAAGATGGCCTCGTGATCAACTTATGTAAACATATTATTAGAGTGCTACCAATAGGTAGGTAGTTTCTCAACAAGCGTTTTCATGTGATTGTATTATTACCTTGTGCACATTTACTAGTTGTAATTTTTTTATAATACAGTTGTAAATATCAATGAAAAAAAAAATTATTAAAAATATTACAAAGAAAGGTAATCAAATTTGGTGTGACTCTTTAAAAAAGTTAAATTATTAACTAAATTAGACAACATTTTTTTATATATTATTTTTAGCCATAAAATATGTTTATATAAATTAAATACAAGTTTTTTTAATAAAACATTATCTTCTATTGTAACCTACAGCCAGATTGTTTGTTTGCTCGTTACCATTCTATTTTCCCAAATGATAAGGTAGGATTACACTATATTAAGGATTACACTAAGAAATTGTTGGGGATTGAGGCCAAATTAGTTCTTTGGAAGAGGTTATTTTTCAAAGAAATATCTTTTTCCACTCAGTCATGTTCGAGGAAATCTCTTTGGAGCAGCGGCTGCCTCATTACACGCCTACTTGGAATGACTCACTCGAGATTGGCAATTACGTCTCAACTTGGCATCCAACGAACGAATGCTGGTCCAGTCTCGGCGCATATCAAACACGTCAAACAGTGATGCAATGGCGTATTATTTCCTCCCACGTTCTCAGTATCGTTAAAAGGTTTTTTTTTTTCTTCTCAAATACGTTTCATGTGATTAAATAGTTGGTTATTTCAAATGATGTATTTAACTTAAAATACTACGCAATAGGTAAAGATAGATAGATAAGATTATTAAGCCGTACTATTTGTAGAGCTATCCAAAAACTAACAACCCAACTTTGAATCTAAAGGTGATATCCTTAAATGCCCGACCACTTCCTGGAGAAGGTTCCCGTGGGAGCAGGTATCTCAGTTCCAGGAACGACTATGGAAGAGACCCCTCGAAGATGGGTGACTCACCTTGATTCGGTCGCCAACTGTGAAATATCTCTGCAAATGCCGCACTATTTCGCTAGTTCAAAAGAAAGGCATTTACATTTTTAAAATTTTTGAGAAAAAGCCAATTTTCTGTAACATCGCTTCCATTTAAAGCAACTCAAACGAATTTTTCCATGATAAAACTTGAACATTCTTGAATAAAATCATCAGAAACGGTTTGAGTTGGACCTATAACATTTTAAAAATGACAGATATCTGTCTTCAATATGAAGCCACTCGTATGATATCGTTCTTTAGTGAAATATCGATAAATAGTAGAGAAGAAAAAATGTACGAAAAGAGAAATTGGATGGCACAAATATGATCCTGGAACAAATTAAAATACTATTGAATGTTATTAGACATTCCGAAAAGAAAAAAAAAAACTATCAAATTCATCATTTCGTATATACGGAACATAATAGGCATATATCGCGTATCAACAACAAAAAAGAACTAACCAAAAATAAATTAAAAACAGTTCAAAATATTCAATAAATTGTGGGAATCAATATGAAATATACCGTTATATTTTCTTCATACTCCTTGAGAGTATGAAAGTTTTTCACAAGTGTATTTAATTGAAAAGATAGGCGTCTCTTTTGCGCTGAAGTTAAAAAAAAAAAAAAAAAATCAAACAAAACTCTCCCAGAATCGAAATTTTCACGAACGTAAAGGATTGTACTTTTGGAAGAATGTTAGAGAGGTAGATAGTAAACGAAAAAACATTATGTTTGAAGTTAAGGAACAAAAGGGTTCCATAATTGTAACCAAATCCACTTGACTGGTATAACACAGACTAGCGTTCATCAAATTTTGATGAAATTTGCATGGAGTACGGTTTGGTATCTAGATGGTTCCGTATCATATTAACATTTTTCAAATTCTATCCACTATTTTCGGTCACGCATAAACAAACGCATTTTCCTCAATACACAATACTTTAAAAAAAAAAAAAGTCTAGTATCAATTTAATCAAATACCATCAATTGCTTTAAAATATGCGTGTGAAAACATATCGACCTTGACACGCCCATATTTAAAAAACGGCTCGAACGATTTGGCTCTAAACTAAAGACTTATAATGGTTTCGTATCAAATTTATTTAATTCTATAAACTACGTTTAGTCACGCATGTTTATATGTGAATATAAAAACAGCTGATTACTTTTTTTTTAACAGCTGATTTTATTCTCCAAGGACAAATCACTAACCTTGAAATATCAGCTAATCATGTATTCAACAGAAATTCTCCGAGGAAGTTATACTGACTCTATTTTCTATTTTATATACAATACGGTAGACAAAGTGTATGTACAAATACAAATTCTGTTTAATCATTGGAATCCTTTGATAAAACTCTTCGTGAAGTGGAGAGAAGAATATTGTGAAGTGAAGAAGAGGTTACGTAACGAAGGAAGACAAGAGAGAGGAGAGGCATATGGTGGCCACAGCTGCCTCGTACACAACCTTGTGCTCTTCAGAAGAAGCAGTCCTTGGGAGGGTCTTTGCCCTGCAGTCAGCTCCTGAAGAACAACTGCTTTGTCTCCTGCATGGTCTGAAGGCTCTATAGCCTCTATGGCCAACAGGATAATGCAACCGTCAAGACAACATATATATTCCACATATGAAAGTACGTTTACACATTACACAAACTATGGGAAACACGAATGTGTAAACGGGGTGTTTTTCTCTAGGCAAGTGATTTTGTCCTATTTGTGACTGAACCATCTGATATGACTGTAACTTTTTTTTTTTCTAGTGAACCAAGAATATTTTTCTATTTTCTGGAAAGTTTGAGCATTTAAACTTTCAATGATTTATACCAAAATGAGTTACTACTCAGTGAACCAATTCAATACTGAATAGAAGACATTTTTTAAATTTTATTATTATTATTCCTATCCATATCTTATTGTATAAAGTTTCACTTGAGGATTTTCATTTTTTTTTTCAGGTCATTTTCCGAAAGACACAGGCGGATCTACACAGGCTTTCGGGTTGAAGTCCCCCTCCCACCCCCCAAAAAAAGGTAAAATATAACCATGTTTTACAGAAAAAATATTAAAAACTATCTCTTAAAGTATTATTGTTCGTGTAATTACATTTAAAAGGACTTCAATAATTACTTAAACACCATTTCATATTGGTAGTTAGTTTCAATCTTTTGTTTTTTTTAAATTAATTATCGTTATATATATGAAAAAAAAACCTTCGGGCTGAAGCCCTCCCCCTCTCCTCCCAAATGGTAAAATATAACCATGTTTTACAAAAAAAAAATATTAAAAACTATCTCTTAAAGTATTATTGTTCGTGTAATTACATTTAAATGGACTTTAAGAACCACTTTAACACCATTTCATATAAGTAATTAATTTCTTTCTTTTTTTTTCAAATTAATTATCTTTATATATATGAAGAAAAAAAAAAAAACCTTCGGCCTGAAGTCCCCTCCCCCCCCCAAAAAAAATTAAATCCTGGATACGCTAGTGCCGAGAGAGAAGATTATTATAGTAAAAATTGTAATAATAAAAACTCATTGAGGGATATCCATAGTTCCTCACATCTAGTTAAGGATGCTAGAGACCCAAAACATCATACCTGCAAATAACCTTATTTTCCCTTATTCAGCATTAATTTTTCACACCTTATTTCTACATTTTAACAATCTATTTGATATTTTTTTGCAATTTGGAAATCACAGTTATTTCCAATGTCAGTAAATGACTGTAAAGTTTTTCAAGAGAAACTTCAGAAATAGCATTCTTGTGAGATCTTTGATGAAATAGTTCCTGGTAAGATTTAAATATCTTAATTCCACCATCTATTTTAAAGTATTTTAACCCTTATTATATTTTCTGTCATTTGAAAATGATAGTAGGTTAAGACCTAACCTAACATTAGACGAATGACATTCCAAATATACATCAGGATTTATTTCTATATAAATACGAAAACGTGTAAACCCCATTTTTCTTGTGTTTTTATTACTATCGTCTCTTTGTGTTTCTGGTGTTTTAAAATGTATAAACCCAGCTTAACATAATATGAATTAACTATCTCTCCTAAAAAGCCATATTGTTCATTAACGAATGTTTTAGAACAGCTGTTCCAATGAATCATGTACACAGCGACCGACTAAAACGGTGAGTCATTTCCCGTCGCTGAGTTCACAAAGTTTTTTAAAAAAAATAAGTATTTTGCTTCACAGATGTTTGCTTAAACTGCAAAATATATGAAAAAAAAGTAACAAACAAAAAAGAAATTGCCGCTAAGAAAAATTCAGACAACGGAAAACATTATTTCAGAAACACATATGCAATTTATTTATAACACATGTGCAAAATTTATAGGTTATGACTTGAGAGTTGTTCTGGCCACATTCTTTAGTGCAAGAAAACACACAGCATAAATAGTGCCGAAATTTATCATTTATCCATTATATATTTTAACATACTTTGATGCTTGAAAATTTTAATATAAATATTTGTTTTCATACTTTGGAAGAGCTTAATACAAAAAAATGTTCTCAGAAAAAGGTATACAGAATAAAATAACAAAATAAAAATATTGTTCCGGAATTCTAGGGTTAAGATAATATTTTGATATATTTATTAACCAGTAACATGCGAAATTGTCTAATATTGTTTATTGATTTAGTTGTACGTCGAATTGAAAACTGACTCTATGCTGAGTAATATTATTATTTGCATAAAATAATAGATTTTTTTCCACAATTTTTGATTATCACGAAATATTAAAAAATAAAAATATTTTAAATTCATAACTAACTAGTTTAACATAAGTATTACATGTATATAATTTTTTTCTTAGAGTAGTTAAAATTGGTATTAAATTCAAAACGAGGTATTTATAAAACAAAATAAAGTACCATATTTTTTTTTCAGCCTAAATATTATGTTACAGTTTTTCATGTATGGCTAAATATGAAAATTGAAAAGGACAACATTAAAAAATCTATGTAATACATTTATAATTCGTAAAAGTATAGAAACTTGAGCTTCATTCTTATAAGAACAATTCTATATTGTGTTTTAATTTTCATTTTAATTAAATTTGGTTCACGAATTAACAATTACTGCTAAAATATTAAATAATGCTAAAATATTAATCCTACAGAGAAACATAAAAAAAAAATTAAACCTGTTTTGAAGGTTCCTAGAATTCCCATCACTGGCTGCCTATATATGTATACACAACATATTAATCAAAACCCTTCTACCATCTGACCACTCGAAAAGGATGTAATCAAAACTAAATAATGAAAGCAAAAAAAAAAAAAAAAAAAAATGAAAAGAAAAAACGAAAAAGAAAAAAGAAGTTGGATGGCGGTGGTAGAACGAGTTGGCAAGCCTGCTCGATCCAGAGGGCTGTGAACTTGACAAACTGGTGCAGTTTGTTCGTTGGGCCCGGTGACGTCACTTCCTACTTTGTTTGATTAAACAGGCCACTGCCGTACGCGGCCTTCTGTATCGCCGTATTCACGTCTACAATTATTTTTAAAAATTGATTCGTTAATAAGTTATTTTTTCAATTTAACTATCAAATGTGAGCTTGTTTTTTATTATTATATACAGCTGTATATTAATTAATACAATTTAATAAAAAAACCTTTTTTTACATAAGATTGGGAAGAATACATATGAGTAATCGTGGATTGAGGACGCATTGTTTCTCTAACAGACAATGGAGGAAGCAGGTGTTCTCCAGAGAGAAGCCTTCCCCTCTCTACCACACTGTTTAAGAGACTTGAGGATTTGTTATGTCTCTTTATTTTGATTGTTGTACCCTTTACCTAATGACATGCAACCCATTTTAACTCATATCATCGTTAAGATGCTTCAAGGATATAATTTAAATAAGAAAATATCTTAATATGTACTTTCAGTAGTAGATGCACGAAGAGAAGAAATTCTATGGTGTTTCCTGCCATTGAAGGTCTACCAAGAACCACAGAATTCTTGGATGACTCATCCGTCGACATTTTATCAACGATGGCAAAGAGATATCGAAGTTTTAAAAAGTATAGTCTTAGATTTCATACCACAATTCAGTGATTGCTGTTTTTTTTTTTGTTTTTGTTTTTTTTCTTAAAAATCTAACTTAAAGTTGTGTGCCTAACTGAGGAGTCTCTAAACTATGGCCCGCGGGCTGGATTTGACCCACAAGCACCTCCAATCGGGCCCGCGAAAGCTTCTTTGATTACATTGTAAAATTTAAAAAAAAAATTTTAAATATGAAATTTAGTAAATCACTCAAACACAAAGTCAGTACAACATTTATTGTATACGTTGTTTCTCTTAGAAAGCTCATTTCATAAATTAAGTAACATATATAGAACAAACTTTTTTTTTTTTTTTTTTCATCAGAAGCCATCAACCACGGGACTTGAAGGTGTCAAAGTGGCTCGCGTTAGTTGAGGGGAGTCTCAATGTGTTCCGCGGGCCAAAAATTTTGGAAACCCTTGGTTTAACTCATCATTAAATAATTAAATTTAAAAAAAAGAAACATTAATTTGAATTTAAAAGTCAAATTTCATATAAGTTTTGTTCATTCATGTTTTTTTAATTTTATTAATTTAGAAAACAGGAACCCCACAGGCTCATAATATGAAAGGTTTGTACAAAATTAAATATATATTAAGAAATTGTAATGAAAAAAAAATCATCATCATTAAATTGTCGACGAATGATTCAGCAAAGAATTCTGTTGTGATTTGTTGTTGGGAGATCTTAAACGGGAGAAAAAAAATCTATGTATTTGTGGTGTATTAAGACCTAAATTTTTATACACATGAAGATGAGAATCATGAAGATGGACTAATAAAGAACGGTGTATAGAAACTGGTCGGTCAATCAATATCTCATAACATAAAGGCAAGGAGATCCTAACCTTGGAGCAATGCATCGGGAAGCCACTACAATGAATGCCTCAATAATAGCCGAGAGATAACGTGGAATGCGAAGTTGACATAATTGAGGCTTGGATTCTTTCTTTAAATAACATCTCAGTTAATGGAAGTCTATCGTTGACGTACGTATTCCTTCGCAACCTAAGCCAATTAGAATACAATTCTCGTTAAAACATACTCATGACAGCATCAACATCCTGAGAAAATAAATCTATATCGATGCGACCATCTCCTTTTCGACCATTGTTGTCGACGATCCGAGAATAAATTAGGAACAAATTAGATGACTATGACTCTCTTTCCTGAAAGTTATATTATTATTATTTTGTTAGCCATTGTTCTCCTTCTGACCGAGAACTGCCCAAGGCCGACCATCGCTGTTGAATATTAAAGTCCCTCCATGGTTCTCTGATCATCCTCAGGATGACTTCGTCTAATTGGACTTCCTGTCTTTGTCCGCTTCGGGAAAAAGCGCTACCAACCGCGACTTGACTTCCCTCGTCCGTGAACGATTCCGATATACTTCTTTCTCTCTATATATGAACGTTTTATCATTATATATCATACAGCGCTACGTTCAACATATCTTCAAGAACAGTTGATTGTGCACAAACACAAAGCTATAATTATATTATATGTTTTTAAATATAGCTTCCGTGAATAAATAGTCTGTAGTAAAGAAACTTTTTATCAAATTATTAACCTCCGTCTAAAATTTAGTGACTGGCTTCATTTTATCGTAAAGTAAAATTTTTTTATCTATGAATTAATTTAACGAGGTACTAAAAACTCATAAACATCGATTTGCTTCCAACTTGAATCGCAAAATATTTCAACTCATTATTAACAAAATGGATGATCATGAGTTTTTCATTCTCCATATCTAAAACGCTCCAATTCAGAGAATTTTCTTAATTTTAAAAAAGCTGTAGATTACGATGCGATGAAGTTACTCAAGAAATTATAGGCGGATGTTAATAATTTGATGAAAAGGGGTCTGTACCACGAACTATAAGGAAACCTTTAAAAATGCAGAACTCTGTTACTAAGGAGATATTTTTAACTTAATTGTGGTTTGAAAATAAATAATATAATAAAATCATGAGGAGCAAATGAAAAGTGATTTTATTGTTAAATTAATTATATATATACCTGATGAAATGTAGTAGAGTTGAAAAAGTCTATGGAGGTGCTGAATTGTAAGAAAATTCCCGTACATTTCTCGGTAGATGAAAAAATTCCAAGCTTTGCTGGACTCCCCGTTCGAACAATTACACTTCTTATTAATAATCCATATGTGATAAAAATATCTGAATCAACCATCTGTTCAGTTATCCGAGCGATTGAATAAACCTACTTGCCCGATTTTAACGTATCTACTAGATACCTCTACCAGCTCCTTTTCGCCCTTTCAAGATGGAGTATTGTACGGCATAAAGGAGTCCCCGACAACAACAGATACCTTCCAGCTCTCGAAGGCTCCCCCCCTGGTATAAGTTATACTTTATTGTGTAACACCCTACAACTTCAGGACTCAGGGCTCACCCTACCTGGGAAGAGGCGAAGCACACCTGCCTCGCTCGCCTTCCAGGTAAGGAACTCCACGGCCAGGTAGAGGCCAGACCTACGATTTATGGTGATTGGTTGCCGGTCCCAGCTGTAGCGGGGTTAGCCTCAATTTATTAAGGTGGGGGGGGAGGAGGAAAGAAGAAGGGAGACCCAGACTATAGATAATTCCAGCTTCGGCTCTCTTCTACCTTTTTTTATATCAGTTCCTCTCTCTCTCTCTCCCGTGATTCGGGGTTCCTAGGTACGACCCTCTTACCTTTACCTGGCTGGGAATCCGACTTTGGTATGCGAAGGATACATGTTAAAACATTTTACACTATAGGCGTTCTGTCTAACATACAAGAATTTCAAGCCAACTCCGTCAAACCATAGAATCTTAAAATAAACAAGTTATACCATGTTCATTACTAGCATGATCATCTATCCAAGTATAAAAAGGAGTTGAATGAGGGACAAACAAAATTATTAAACTAATACAGCTAAGGAATTTGATTAAACAATGCATTCTCTAGCTTCCTGGCTTAAACTTTCGCATTTTTCCACACAAGCATGGAAAATTTGATTGGTTAAAAAAAAACCTAGATGTTAAGGATTGGATAACCAAACCGAACCAAACTAGTTAAGGGTTGGTTAAATTTGTTAGATCCAACCAAAACCTTGATAGTTAAGATTAGTTAATCCAATCCAAACCATGAAGGTTAGGACTGTTTGATACAATTAAAACTTTAATTGTTAGGATTAGTTGATCCTACTTGAACCATGGTGGGAAGGATTGTTTGACCTTGCCTAAACCTGGGTAATTAAGATTACCAAACCGTAGTTCAAGTTAAGACTTATGGGACAATAATTCTCCTTAGAATAACTATATGGAGTACATGAACAACCTCAGTGCTCAAACCACGCCCTAAAGATGACCCACATGTTTTGGGTTGAAACATAGGCAAAAATAAAAAAAAAATTTTAAAAAGACTACGTCCTGAATATTTATCACCCATAATAGAATAACTATAATATAAAATGTAATTCAATTATCTGGCATTAGAAGACGTATGAAATTATACATAAATCCAGATATGCGAGTTCACATATTTGTACCCATAAACAATGTGGATGATAAATAATTATCTGTAGGATAACATTACATGCGACTGAAAGCTCTCATTAATTTACATTTATTCGAAAGACTGATTGCTGAGGAGATGAATAAATAAATGATGTTTAAATGAGGTTAAGGATGAGTATTTGCAAAGACTTTTTTGCAGGAAACAGTTCTATTAGAAGGAATAAACAAGTTTTAGGGCTGGAATCTCGTGTTGAACGAATGGGCAGAGGAACAAGGAGTAAACAAATCGAGAAGGTAAGAGATTTTTTTTGTTGAAAAGGTTCGAAAAAGGATTACACCTAGCCGTTGGAAGATTGGATAGGTCGATTAATCCAACCTTAACTTTTATGGTTGACCTTATCCCAGAAAAATTCTCCAAATTTCATCAGAACCTTACATATCATCCAAATCCCCTTTGCACAATCACTATCCAGCACCACCCATCCCTACGATTCTCCTCGAAGGTTGAAGCGGCAGTGGCTCAGAGACCTTCTGTGAATAAGCATATATTGGAATTTTGGCAATGGACAGATCCTCCACTCAAGCCAAGTATGTATAGCGCATCTCCTCAGCCTCAAATGGTCCTCAATACCAGTAATGTGGATGAGTGCGAGGTGCTGGGATCTCCTAGAGTCCTTCCTTTCCTTCCACGAGTGGGGAGAAAGGCTTGGCTCGGAGTTCTTCTGAGTGAATGGATTCAGTAAATATAGGTGGCATATCTATAGTATGCATGACTTTTAGTTGTTATTTTAATCATTTAAGTTCTTTTGTTTATATTTAATTGTAAATAGATTGTGAATGTGCTCTCTGAACACTATTATAAATGTCCTTAATTAAGGAGCAATCCAACTGGAAACCATTATGGTTACGATTGAATTATCCAACCCAATGCTTATTTGATTTAACCCAAACCTGGATTGTCATGATCGGATGATCGGGCTTGAATCTTGATGATTTAGTAGGACCTAACCATGAAGAGGTTATCCACATACCCTCTTCACAGCTGAGATTACAGAACAGACAAGACTACAATATTACTATACTATAATACTATAATACTATAATACTATAATACTATAATATTACTATACTATAATACTATACTACAATACTATAATACAATACTAACTTGATATCTTCTGGCCCATGTTCATAACCCTGCCGGTGCGGGCTCGCCGGTGCTCGAGGTAGGAGGCGGCCTTGTTGGGCAGCACCGACGACTTGTAGTTGTGGCGCCTCAGCTCTCGCAACTCCAGGCCCGAAGCTGTGATCCTGCTGCGGCTCACTCCACCACTCCCCTTGTACCTGGAGGAACAGACAAGGGAGTCGTCAGTACTCGATCAAGCAGAGTTAGGAAGTAAGTAAGTAAGTAATAAATAGATCAATAACAAGCCAGAGGAAATTTAACCTATATATATCTTAATTATATTGTGCCATTTGCACCTGCGAACCTAGCAAATTTGATATATTAGTGGTTAGCAGAGTTTGCTTGATTGGCTCCAGTTTGTATTTATTGCAGTAGGTCCCTTGGCCATTTTCTTTTTAGTTTACGTCTATCAGGTAACAGAGGACAGGAAATAGAAAGGACTAATGGATCGAAGTGATTTAGAATTGAAGTGTATTTTTAGTGGATGTAGGATTTTACAGTTGGGATGTTCAAGTCGATACGTACAGTGTAATCCTCTAAGAATAACAAAAAAGTTACGAATTTCAGAGTCTAATTAACTGTTGATTGTTATTGCAATAGATCAATAGATTGATATTAAACAGTATACAGATGCAAGTAATTTTATATGTTAGCGAAAGTTTGTGGAGCAGGTGGTGGAACAGGAGTTGTTTTGAAGGAATTTGTGGACGAGGATTGACGTATGGAGGTAGGAAGAGAGTTCCAAAAGGAGTCAGCACGAATCACGAAGGATTTGTTGAAGGAAGTTATAAATAATAATAATAATAAGGCTTAGCGAACCCGAAGGTTCGATGCCGACACCACCAATCGCTTGTTACACATCTCCCTCCACCGTACGCCGTCCAAACCCAGTCCCTTCAGATCGGCTTTAATGCAATCTTCCCACCTTCGCTTCGGTCTACCCCTCGGACGCTTACCATTCGGCACAGCAAATATTAACCTTTTAGGAATTCTCTCGTTACTAAGCCCAACAACTTTACAAGCCCATTTGATTCGCCGCGATGAAATTACCTCAATTATATTACCCGGATACAGCTCACGCAATTCGGCGTTGTGTAACCGTCTGAACTCTCCGGTTAACTCATCCTTCTTCGGTCCGAATATTCTACGCAATACTTTATTTTCAAAAACCCTAAGACGCTGCTCATCCCTTAATGTAAGCGGCCAAGTTTTGCATCCATAAAGAACTGTAGGCAAGATAATTGTTTTATAGATTCTAATTTTTAAGTTCCGGGACAAGAGGCGCGAACTAAGTAGTTTTGTCACAGAAAAATAACAAGTATTCCCCGCCTTCAGTCTAACCTTAATCTCTTCTTCAATTTCGTTTTTTCTAGTTATCGTAGAACCTAGATACCTAAATTTATCTACCTGTGAAGGAAGTTATGGGAGGGGATATATAAGTCTATAGGTTGAGACCTGGTATGAAGGGAGTGGATAGAGGAACGTGGAGTATGGAGAATTCCAGGATGTAGGAAGGGTTTTCGGTTTTCAGGACAAAATGTTTATGTTTGTTTTGCAGAACCCCAAAGTTCTGCTCCGTGTGTCCATATTGGTCTCAGTATGACGTAGATCGTACACTTGTTTCGTAAGTTAAGAAAGGATCTGTCGTCTACAAGATGTGAGAGTTGGTTACATCAACTAGTCAGTTCTGGTCTTTTTAATTTAGTATGCATATTCCAGGTAAGTCTTTTGTTTAAGTAGAGTCCGAGGTACCGTACATAGTTTTTTGAAGGCACCTGGATATCGTCGATAGTTACGAGTGGACATGATGTTTTCCTAACTTAATTACAAAACATGAAATGGTTTTAAGGTCCTTTTTCACGGTTAAGTTTCTAGACCAAAGGCTTGCCCTAAAACCGTAATTAATTTCTTTGAATATTCAACACTTTATAGACTCTTTTACACGGTTAAGTATTTTATGGCTTGGAGATTTCAATTCAACCCCTCATATTTGGGGTCGCATATGTGATGGGATATATTTAAAGAAATGATAGTACAGAATAGTTCAACCGTAACGTATAGTCCCACAATTGAGTAATGCATTTTATTTTGTTTGTTTTTTTTTTATAAAAACTCACACAAATTTACGAATACACATATGTAATGTTTTTTTTCCATTATCTTTTCTCTTTTTAAAATTATATTTAAATACACACAAACTCCAGGAATGTCTGAAAAAAAAAGGCTGATAACAGATGAAATACCGGAAAAGGAATTCGCTGAGAGCAAAGTGGGTTTCTAAAGTGGCCCGCCTATATATATATCAGCTGTGTCTATAGATACCAATTTCCGGTTGGGGAAGTCCAAAGGGGAGACCGTCTCTATTTACACGCGAAAAATTCATGTTACTATTTCGACATGGCCACTGTGCACACAAACGTTTTGTCAGACTTCAATAAAAAAGTCTTGTTGATGATTTCTGGTCGTTGTACAACAGTCAAGGCAGAGTGGCAGTACCACTTCCCTTGTCTAGACGCTGACAGTCAAACTCATGACTGTTGGAAAAATGGTCGATTAAGAACAGCTGATGTCACGATTATTTTAAGAACAGTAATTTTTTTACGAGAAAAAAAATAACTAAAGTCTGATCTAAAGTGAATTAGTATAAGTATTTCACTTTTTGTATCGAGTACGCATACAATTTATATTAATATACAATTTAATACGATTATGATTTAATTTAAGCCGTCATGCTCTAAACGAAAAAGAGACTATACCATTCCTTTGTTGTAAGTACTGTATTATATGTCTCAGAAACCTGGACGATTTCAATCTCTCAGCAAGAAAATTTTTATCAATGGAGATAGATTTTTGGAAACGTAGTCGTAGAATATCAAAACTACGACATATTCCAAATAATGTTATCAGAGATAACGTGAATGAACCATTCATCATCCCGTACTCCATTGAGACAAAAAAGCTGAATTGTTTCGGGAACGTAATGAGAACCCTCGATGGCCTATAAGAATACTTCAGTATGTACCATTCGAAAGGAGGAAGAGAGGTCGACCGGGTAAGAGATGGTTGCAATGTTACATGAGGCTATAACAGAGAGAGGACTTCGGGAAGAAATTATGATAAAAAGAAATGGCAACAGGAATTAGGTTACGACATATCACCTTAAATTGTTGTAAATACAATCATTATATATATATATATATATATATATATATATATATATATATATATATATATATATTTTTTTTTTTTTTTTTTTTTTTTTTTGCATTACAAACCATCTAGAACTTTTGCCGCCTTAATAAGCCTGCTCCTTCTCTGCCTGTCTTGGGCTATTTCTTTTCAGGTATCTGCACGCAGCTCTGTTGAATCTTTGTTGATTCTATCCATCTGCCTTTTGGCCTTCCACGTGGTCTTTTGTCTTCTATTGAGAAATTCATTGTTACATAGAGGCTTCTAGATAGATTATTACGAGCTACATGCCCCGCCCATCTTAAGCTCCGTACCTTCATATTATGAGATATTGATTGACCAGTTTCTGTAAGCAACTTTTTGTTAGTTCTTTTCCATGTGTTAGTACTCTGATCCCAGATCGCTACCGCTATAGTGCGTCATATTTTCCTCTTAAATCTTTCAACACTTTTTTCTATGGAGCTGGTTAGTGTTTAGGTCACCCACCAATATATTAGAACTGGCTTTATCATAGCATTGTACACCCTTAGTTTGAAATTTCTTGAGATTTTTCGGGACTTTAATACCTTTGAGAGGTAGAAGAAAGCTCTGTTCCCAAAAATCTTAAATAAAGGGTAAAAATGCTATGATGAAGCCTGATATACGACCGCGAGAACTGGACACTAACCAGTACTAGAAATGTAAAATAAATATAAGAGAAAATGATCAATAAAGAGCTGCTTACAGAAACTGATCAATCAATATCTCATAATGTGAAAGCGATGAGGTTAAGATGGTTTGTAGCTAGGATCAATCCGTCCGAAAGCCTCTACACAATAATGAATGCCTCAATAGCAAGCAAGAGAATACGTCTAAAAGCCATAGATAGCTCGAATCAACAAAGATGCAACAGAGTTTCATGCAGAATAATGGTTAAGATGGCAAAAATTTACAAGATACTTGAAGGCAACAAAGAAAAAAATTGCATCAAAAAACTTATATAACTTGCAATTTTCATTTGTTTATTGCCATCTACATTTCACAGTTATTATAATCTCATCTATAACGTTAATTTCAATAGCGATGGCATGAACTGTAGCATCAGCTGCTATCGAGAAACGAGGCAAAAACCTTCATCAGTAGCAAAAAGATAATATCATATTAAAGAAGACCAGATATAATACATATATCAATAGTCTTATAAATATAATATTTAGTTTCGAAATATTTTAAATCGAGAACGATCAATATCGCAAAAAAATATTTCATAATTTAATCAATAGAAAAAACTAAACAATTGACAATCAAAAGAAAAAAAAAAAAATCGGCAAAAGATCTATGCCATCTTCGTATCGTTTCGGGACACCCCTGACCCACTTAGCGATCTAGAAGGCTTTGTCGTGAATGGGACTGGATTTTGCCGCAATGGTCGGTTGGGTTACACTCGAGAGTGAAAGCTCCAATCAGAATGGCTCTTTCAAAACAATCGCTTATAACAATACGTCTCTCTCCTTCTCCCTCCAACACTCTTACTCCTAGTAGCCCCATGTGACGGGAATTTTTAGAAGCCTTTCATAACACGCCTTTTGGAAATTATCGCACACACACAAAACCTAAATCACACGTCTCAATGCTACGTTTGTATCTAATCGAACATCTTAAAAGAGTGAAAAGTCTAATGTTTAAGATATTACGGGTAATATTCAGGCCGCAGTGAGTTTTTAAAATTTTTATTTACCGACGTTTCAACCTAATCTTATGGGTCATCATCGGGGCATGGTTACGAGCGCTGAAGGTGTTCAAGTACTTGAACACCTTCAGCGCTCGTAACATGCTCTGATGATCTGATGATGACCTGAATATCTATCACCCATACTCGAACATCTGAGCATCTATGATAGTAATGAACTAAAATAATTTACTATTTCTTTCAATTAAATGGGAATTTTATAAAGAGGTAAATTGAAAAGATGTATATTATATTTATTAACATCAAAGCGCATGTTAAGTAGAGACAAATTATAAATATTCAAATAAAAATTATAAACTAAATAAATAAAGTACCATATTGTTTATTATTATTAATTATAATGAAGAGAAGGATAGTTGGGGTGATCAGTCAGAAAGAAAATAACAAAAATATATAATAATATTCATTTTAACATTTGTCGACGTTTCGAACGCCATCGAATAGAACACTCTATTCAAGAAATCTCTTCGAACAGCCCTGATGGAGGCCTGAACTTCAGGTCGAAACGTCGGCAAATATTAAAATAAATATTATTATTTATTTTTGCCATTTTCTTTCTGACTGATCACTCCAACTATCCTTCTCTTCATTATTCACGACAGTCAACGATCATTCACAATTATTATGATTATAGTTTGATACTTCAATAAGATATATTAGTTGATCCGTGCGAATAGAGTATATAGGTCAATGAAAAAAAGGCAACATTATGTAGAAATAAATAAATGCAATATATAATGGGAAGAAAAAAATAATTTTCTTTCAAAGTTATAGAGCGAAGTTATGTGGATAAATTACAATTGGCTGTATCTTTACTAATTGTTCGCCGTATAAAATTAGAATACATGTCTCTTTGTCCAAAATCCCATTTCAAAATAAGAACTAAAAGGGCAATGGAGACAAAAATACTGTTTCTAAAACCTAAATTTTCACAATGTCTAATGACCATCAGCCATAGAAGAGAGTTTCGTGGCGAAAATTGCGGGGGGCATGTTATCACGGTTTTTTGAATTTTTGAGGGGAACACATTTCGACGAGATTATGAATTTTAGGAATGACAATTTTCATACGATAAACGGAAAACGTGGAAAAGGCAGCAGCAAGCTGTTTTTAGGAAAATATGAGCAATAAAATATCTTGGGAGGGAGGGGGTAGATTTTTGCGACATCGACCTCGGAGGAATTGGGTACCCCTGATCATCTTAATTTAAATGAAATATTATATTAATAAACTATATAGAATGATACATAATGCAGAGAAAAAGTATGAATACATACAAACCCAGAAATGTTCTCACGAATTTGCGTGTTGCCTTAAAAGAACAACACCGGAGAGTTCAAAAACAATCCTAATATTGCTCAAAAATTGCGACGAACGTCATGAATTCTTTTACGACCAACGCGAGAGTTCGACGAACCTTTTATGTAACAAGTTTTTATCTCGAATCGAATTCTGCCTAAGAAAAAGAGGTGGGGAGGAGGTACACTATTGGTAACATTTCAAATTTGTCCAAAAGAGAGGAAAAAGTGTGCCAACAAATCCACTCACTTACGACGAAAAAGTAACTCGAATACAAAACAGATTATACTGATTTTTTAAAGATATTTAAGTACATAGACATAGAAAAATATATAAATACAAAGATATATAAAGAGAAATAAGAATTGGAAAAGATACTGGCAAAGTTCCAAAATTCTCATTCAGTTTCTTCTCGATTCTATTTAGCTTAAATGAGAATAGTGAAAACAAAATTTGAAAGAATTTTTTAAATAAATAATAAAATATTCAAAATCTATATATAGAATTTTATTGAAGAAAAAAAAAAATACAATCTGCCACAATATGGGGCATTGATTATCGTGGTTATATATTTACATTCATACATTTCATATACAAATTAAAATAAAAAATGAAAAAAAGAGATGGTCCGGGATGGCGGTCATAAATGGTGGCAAAATTATTTTATTAAAAGCCAACGTTTCGACCCGACTTTGCAGGCCTTCTTCAGGGAGGTGTGTTCAGCTAGGAGTTTCACTTAAAACTAATTTGTTTTAAATGAACCAATTTTGTTCTAAGTGAAACTTTCGTGTAGTCGGATTGAAACTTTGGCTTTTAATAAAATAGTTTTGCCACTATTTAGCCCATTTAAGACCGCCACCCAGAACCATCTCCTTCCTTTATAATACAACGGTCAACTATTAAATATTCAATAAAATAAAAAATGAGAAAAAAATAAAATAAGAGATGAAAATAAAAAAAAATTGTAAAAAGAAAAAAGTATATTGAGAGAATAGTAAAGAAAAAATATATATAAATACTTGTCATACATTCATTCCTATGTACAATATTTACATTCGGCCTGGGGCATTCTGAAACATGCTTTGCAACTGTCATGTGAAAGGAAAAGCAGGGCTCAAAGAGATCCTAGCGTCTCTTTTCCAGCCTAGTATTTCAATATCAAATATGAGAATTCTCACTGGCGTATAATAGTATTATAGGTTAGTATAGTAAACGATTTTAAGGAGCGTTAGTACATTTCACAAACTGTGTAACACAAATATTTAAATGAGCTTTTTCCTACACTAGTGTTTCTTGTTTTTAATATCTTCCATCTGCTGTCGGTAACAACCTAGTTAAGTTAGAAATAAGTATGTTCTCCATAGTTTGTGAAATGCTTAAAAGCACCTTACCAAAGATTAACGAAATCTTAAATATAAGAACAATACTCAAAACCTTAGCGTCCTATTATAATCTCTAAGCCCTTCGGATTACAAGAAAGTAGAAGAGTTCATAATGACGAGAACGTCAGAGGTTTAGAAAACATCGCCCACTTAAAAGAAAAAAACGTAGCAACTCTTCGAAATGTTAAACAGAGCTGCCTTAGCGAATCTAAATTGGTACAACACTCACAGGAAGCGAAAATATTTTTAGCCTTCGAAGCGGTGCTTTAGTAATCCCCGAGGAATCTCAATGCTCTGGAATCTAGTTGACTTTTCTTTACAAGGCACTATTGTATTTGTTTTATATAATATATATAATTGAAACCAGTTGGCCCTTGGGAATAATTCGCATAATATATATTGGTCAGTGCAATATGGAATATAAAATTATTTATAAATCTATCAGCGTTTGAAATCGATAATTAAAAAACATTTCATGATTTTTATTAAGAACTATTCTTATTTTAATATCATAAATTATAAAATTAATATCCTCATCATTATTTTTGAGTAATTTTTCACAAATAACAATAATAATAATTCTTGAGCAATACTTTTTAAAATCAGAAATATAATTTTTTTTGTAGTACAGAAAATTGACTACAAAAAATACATTTTGTGTTATTGGCAAATAAAATTTGCTTCTCTTTTATAGCTTATTTTATCGGAAATTACAAGGAATATGATTATATCCCTGGAGATGTGACATCTCCATCAAGTCCCCTTTTGTTCGAAACCCAAATCATTAAAATCCATCGTGCCAGAGAGCCGGAAATAAGACTTAAATTGCGAAATAATATCGTATTAATAAAATATTTAAAGGAAAAATTATCTAAAAAAAAATCATCAGACATTTTGTATGTAACATATTTAAATGAGCTGAGCTATTGGATAGCCTGACTGCCCCGTCAGAGTTATCGTGCCTGGGAGTTCCGAATCGATTCTTGGCGTAGTATCGATCAGGGTGACTCACGAGGGCACTAATACAGAAGGGTACTCACCCTACACTAACACACACACAGGCACACACAAGTTCACTCCCTTCCAAGTTGTACAAATCGTTTCCAGAGGGAGTCGTTTGATGTGTAGGGCAGATGTGGCCGTATGGTTCTCTCTCTCTCTCTCTTTTTTTTATTATCTCCGCTTTAAGAGCCCCTTCTCGAATAAAAAAAAAAAAAACAGTACGGGACCTCAGGCATTCCTGCCCGCTTTTGGGAACCATCTGTGTCCCGAAGGCGAACACAGGAGGACGAATTCCGATGAACCAAAAATACGCGAAGCATAAAAGCGAGATACTTATAACTTATAATAAAAATAAAACTAGTAAATGAAAACATGAAAAAATTTGTAAGAAAAACTATCCATTGGTAGCACTCTAATAAAATATCTACATCAGGAGACCATTTTCTTTTTCAGAAACCTCAAGGGAACAAAATGGAAACAAAGAGGTTCGGATGGTTCTGTTGTTTATTATGAAAGGTATACCTTACTGCCAATTACCAATGGTTTGAACAAAATCGTCAACATATGGAACATTTCCTGATGGAATTTGTATTATAAGGATTGGATACAAGATGAATTTTATGTTTAGTGGAGCCACAATGCTAAACTCCAGCTAAACTAAGTCCAAATAAGACTTATTATAGTCATGAATATGAGTATTTTGTAATGAATAGTGTGTTGGAGTAGTCCGGAACGTCGAGCGGTTTCTTGCCGTTTTATTTTATTTCATTATTTCTTAATGATATTTACAACCGTATTAAAGAAATACATCTAGTAAATTTGAACATATGGATATAATGACGTGAAAACACTTGTTGAGAACCACCCAATGGTAGCACTCTAATAATATGTCTACGTAAGGAGATCACGAGGCCATCTTCTTTTCAGACGCCTCGGAGGGTTATCAGGAATTGAAGAGGAAGCAAGGTTAGAAACGAGAGGGTTGGGATGATTCTGAAGTTTATTATGGAGAGATATGTATCTGGATTGGGCCAGATCTGAAACATATGAATCATTAAGTTCATTATTTATTTGTAACAAAGTAGGGAGCATTAAGAAATTTACGAAGGATTTTGGATTGTAAGGATTGGATACGAGAGGAATTCGATTGTCTTTTGTAATTAATTGGAAGTTTAGAGCGTTTGTCTATTAAGTGATAAAGTAATCGGAAACGTCGAGCGGTTTCTTATCGTTTCAGTCTGGTATAAATTCCTGAAAATGGAATAGAAAATCATAATTCTATCCAAGGACAAAAGCACTTCAAGAACACAACAAAAGCACATTTATCTAAATAAATATTTGCAGAAGGATACTTGTCAATTAGTTTTAATTGGTAGTAATTATAATTACACAAATATATATAGTTTACAATAAAATGCTTAGCGAATTATAATGAGTATTTAAGAGAAACTGCAGTGGAGAATTAATAAATATGTTAAGAATTTAAAAGCACAATTAACAAATGATTAGACAAAGGAAACAGACGGTATATACAAGTAATTTGAAATTTTGTATAGAGAGAATGGAAGAACATATAGTTAGAAGAGATAGGATTTCAGCACATGTTTTTGTTTCGAATGACTACTAAAGAGGTATTGCCGATGAAAAGTAGGATAAAGCCAATTTAACAAATAAGAAATAATTTTAAAAAATAGTTTTGTATTTTTTTTTGGATTTAAGACTTGTCAAAGCAAGTCCTGTTTTTGGCAATAAAATATTTTAATTATAAAGATAAAATATAAATCCAGAATATTTCTGGATATATGATTATTGAATGTAACTAACTCTTGAATATAACTTCTATAGAACTTGATCTTGAAAGACATTTATTTAAAAACTGATGTAGTTTCATAACAATCAAATGAGAATAAAAGACGTCTTTTATTATATAAGTGATTTTATGTCATTCAAAAACTTTATCAGATGTTTTTATTCATCAGATGTTATCTTTATTCATCGGACGCAAGAAAATTTGAAAATTATTAATTTATTTTTTGTACAGTACCAATTTTTGTACAAGACTTTCTTAATATTTTTTTTAAATATTAGTTTCTAGATTATAATCGGAGTATAAAGTATAGCTTTTATAAGTATTAGCTCTAGATAGAATTTTATTTATTAGCAATGATAAAGAATAAATATTTTAAATAACGTAATGGTTAAAAACCTTGAACTACTGCCTGCTTATGGAACGCTTACAAGCAAGGAACGGTTAATTTATCACATTACATAGTTTTAAAATGGTATGACATACTTTAAATATAATCTGTCATTTTAAGCATTAAATGGAATAGAAAAAGAAAAAGAAAAAAAGTTAAAATGATTTATTAAAGGTCATTTCCATTTCAAATGGCAAATATTCTACTCACATATGTTTACAAGAAACATTTATAGACGTCAAGTTGGCATTACATTAAAAGCCTTCCTAGAGTCTCCATGCACCATTTTATCGAGCAAGGTTACGTAGATTAATCATATAAATAAATCAGTCTAAGTAATGTAACATAAGAAAACAGAACGGTAAAAAATAAATGAAGGATGGATGTAATGCAAAAGACGTTCGTGAACGAGAACGTCAGTAGAGGAAGCAATGAGTTAAACGAGTTCAATTGGTCCAATCATTGTCAAAGGTCGCTTCGTAATATCGTTTGTCTAAAGGACGTTAAAAACATTACTAAATTTTGAATGATATTTTTAAAAATGAAAAACTTATTATTTTCTATAGTACGCGTAAAGCTTATTATCTGGACTAAAAATTAAAACATATAAAATAACATTATTATAGATATAAAAGTATAAATAATGAATAAACAAGATAATAGTAATGCATCTGATGTTGTTATTTACACTTATTACTAATATCTTATTTATCTACTCTTATTACTGTTACTCTTTGCTCTTATGTGTATTATTTTTATTTTTTATTTTTTCTGAGAAGTTGTATGGTATTCTTTGTTATTTGGCAATGATTACTTACAATTAACAACAATTGAATTTATTTGTTGTATTATCAAATTGCATGTTTACAAGTTAACGTTTCGGGATATTTACTCCCATCTTCAGTACCACAATCCCAATGATCATGTGGATACATGGCTTAAATTTAATTATAGTTATAATAAATCTAGGTATATAACATCTAGAGCAACATCTTGCTTTTAGACTAATTATTGGGTATCTGCTTATTATTTTTCAATTTTTGGAAATGATGATGACCATCATATTTGGGTCGAAACGTCGGCTAGCTCAATATATTTGACTGTATGTCCTGACGATTTTTTTCATCCTTATAAGTATACCCAATTTACTTATTAATTTTTATTTGAATGAAACTGTCAAAACATTTTTTGATCAATTATTTTTAATAATATTTTCATTCCTCAAAGAATGGAAAAAAATTGAAGTATCGGATTCATTGGGTGTTTTTAAACAAGAATCAATTACTTATCTCGATTTTCAAAAATATCGATTATGGGTCACTTTCAGAGGGACTCAAATACAATAATATTATAATTATTTTTTTATTAATTTATATCCTTGAACCTTTCTTCATTAATTCATATTTTCTCCTAACTCGTTGCACATAAGACTAATTTAAGAAAATAAACGCCCATAATTTACACTGATTTCTTTATCATTTAAATATATAGACTTTTTGAGGATACTTTGTCCCACTCTTTAGCACCTAGAATTATATATTATATATTATATAATATACATTATTTATTTGGTTAATTATATAATATATAGAATTATATAAATATTATATATCATTTATTTGGTTAATTATAAAATTTTCAGAGGACTTTGGCGTTGACCGCTTTGCCATTGGAGATGGGCCCTGAAACATATCGATTTACGGTGGCTCCCCCTGGTGGATAATCACTTAACTCACTCCTCTCTGGCTACAACTAGGGAAAAAAAAACACAACCCTCTTTATACAAAAACATCTCTATATTATTTATTAATATTAATTATAATATGTAATAATGGTATAGAAATGTTTGAGGATAGATACCTATAGTAAAAACATTCTTAAGGTGGCTGCTCTTTTAAAAGATTTCGGAATAATAACCGATTCGGATAATTCAAAATATTCAGAAAAATAACTCGGGAACAACCAAACAACTTTTGTTTCTATAATTTGTATACATAGTGGACTAATTATATTTTTCAACTATATCGTTGGAAACGATAATCTTAAAGAAACAATTTCATGATTGAAATCACAGAATCCATAGGCTTTAACAAAATATATATTACATGAGCACGTAAACAAGCGGAAAGATATTGTTTGAATATAATTATCACTATATAATTAAAGAATATTTATTTATCACCCTTATTTGATTCAGTAACTGTAAAACTTTTAAAATATATTTAGCACTGATATCGTTCATTTTTATTAATAAAAAAAATAATTATAATATTTTTGTATTTGAGTCACTTATTTCCAAAACTGATCCCTATTCGATATTTTTGAAAATCGAGATAAGTAATTGATTTTTGTTTAAAAACACCCAATGAATCCGATACTTCAATTTTTTTTATTCTTAGAGGAATGAAAGTATTATTAAAAATAATTTATGAAACAAATGTTTTGACAGTTTCATTCAAATAAAAATTATAAGTAAATTGGGTATACTTATAAAAATGAAAAAAAAATTGTCAGGATAAGCAGTCAAAAATATTGAGCTAGCCGACGTTTCTACCCAAATATGATGGCCATCATCATTGCTGAACGATATGGTGTATCTAAATAATATATAATTACATTAATCCGTAATTCGATACTTTTGTTGCTATGATTCAGAATTTATAATTAATACTTTATAAGATAATCTAACAGCTTGCCCCAAAATGACAAAACTACAGTTCATATTCTTCAAGATTGTCATTATTATAATCAATTCTAACAAAATTAGGACTCATACCAAAAATTATCAGTTCTTTTAAACAATGATTTAATTTTTTTTCTATAATAATATATTATTGAAATAATTAAAATGAAGATTAGATAGACGTTGATGAACTCGAGATTTCACGCCTTTAAGCCCTAATAATAACAAGTACGAGTACAATAAATACATCCTCGGTTTAAGATTAAGTCCTTGAGGGAGAAAAAAAAAAAGATCATAAAAATTTAGACAACAGGTAGTACATCTCACATGAACAGTCAAAATAATTAATTAACGATAATTAATTTTCAATAATATCATTCTGGCTTATATGTCACAAAGCATAGTTATTAATTTGGACATAAAATTATTTTGTAACGTA